TCAAGTCAAGACTTTCTCCTCCAACTGAACAAAGTCACCCTCAACTCTGTCACCAAAGAAAGATATCTCTGTGCATATGTAAGAGGAGAGGAGATACTATGGAGAAGTTAGTGTGACCACTCCTAAAAGACAGCAATGTTGAATGATGAATTGTTTTTGCCTAAGGGAAAAATGTAGGACCAAGCTTTACCTGCTTTGTGACATTAAATTAAAATTAATAAGTTAATATCATTTTTCTCATATCATTTCTGAGGCTTAAATCTCAAGATTTACCAATAATTCACTTTTGACTGTTTACTGAAGTTGATAACTGTCCCTCTCTTTTCGTAAATCCTTCTCAGGAAGATTTCAACCCAAACTTTAAAAAAGTTATGATCAATCACATTTTATGTAAAGTCAGGTACCATTAATTAAATCAGGAACTATGAAAAAACTTAAAGAATAGAAGAACTTTGGATAAAATATCCTTGCCCTTTGATAAAGAGGGAATGAGAGGAAAGCAGCACTTCAATGTGTTTAAGAACTCTAGGTCACTACCTATTAGATGCTGCTCTTGCTCTGGCCTCAACTGTTCAATCTAGCCTCAGTGGACAAAGTCAACAATGGTGACCATTAGAGCCCAGTTGTGCTCAATGCCAGCCACAGCCATCTCTCTTTCCTTTCTCCCTCTAGTGGTCATCTCCTCTCCTTGGCTCTTGCTCAGACTTCAGTCCAATGGTGCTCAGCCTCTCTTCCCCCAAACCATTATGTCCTCCACATATGATCTCAATCTGTACCAGGTCAGGAGAAAACAACACTATTGGTATTATCCTTCCCAGAAATTAAGTTGGGCATTGGAAACCTTCTCTCCTCCTACAGAGGAATCATTCTCCCAAAATCTTGTTGTATATGCACAGATCTAATTTCTTAAGAAACTTTATATCTCTTTGAGTTGAGGCTTAACTTAGAAGATATATATATGTAGACACAACTGGATCTGATTGGAATACAAGGAAAGCACATTTGGCAGCATTTTGGTGGCATATCTCATGGGGAGAAAGTATTGAAAACACTGTTATAGGGGATATGTCATTTCTCGTGATACGACTTTGCCTGACTCAGAAACTCATTCCATTGATTTTAATGAAAGTCTCCTGGGCCACAGCAAAAGAACTTAGCCTGCAATTAGTTTTAAACAACACAAATCTGTTTATACTGGGGCTGGGGCCATTCCATAAAATGTCACACTGAAGGCACATCAGTAATTTAACCACAAAAAATTTCTCACACATGCATTTGCTGATGCCAAGTTAATAGATGAGTAATAAAGCCACGCTGTGATGAGAAACAAAGAGCATAATGGTTAGAGAGCTGACATCAGAGCCAGGGAGACCCTGGGTTTGAGCACCAACTTTCAACTTATACCGGATGTATACTCTCAGTGCTCTAGGCAGTGAAGTGCAAAGTGCTAAATTGCATTAGTAGAGGGAATTTCCTTCTCTGACAGTTCTTCCATCAGTGAAATCACAATTTCAGTATCTGTTGCTATAGTATTTTCTTAAGCCAGAGATTCTAACATAGTGTGTATGTGTGTGCACACATGTGTACACACATGAATACATGATGGATTCCATCTGTAGTCTGATGAACCCCATGAACTCCTCAGAGGGGGAAATATTTTCAAATAATTTCAAATTTTAATTAGAAGTTAGGGACAGTAAAGATGTCATTTTTTTCCCAGCCAAGTTCAGTGACCACTTGAAATCTATTGATGGACTTGGGGCTAAGATTCCCTGTCTAAAAGTCCTATTCTAGTGCCTTATTGAAAAGTGAAGACAATCCTTGATTCAAGAAGACTCTAGCAATGGAGCAAAGCTCTGACAGGCCTTGACTGAACTAGCAAAGCTTGGAATAGAGCTTTAGATAGGGACAAATTGTTTAAGTGCTACATTGAATGTGAGCTCCTATTCTCACATCTTCTAAGAGTGAGGGTTCGTAAAGTAGGAGAAGCTTCTCACCATTACCAGGTGATGATGATTCTTCCTGGCCCCAGCAGCTTAGGGAGATCATGCTACCAAAGTGTGGAGGGATTGGGATTTCAGATGGTAGTGGGACTATCTATCTATCAATCTATCTATCTACATATATACATATGTATGTACTTATGTATACACACACATCTATACCTCTATGCATGTATGCATATATACATATACATATGTGTGTGTGTTGTTGCTGAGTATTTAGGAAACATTTTCTTTAAAAATTAATAAAGTACAAATAGCTTTTGGCACTTATTATACCTGCAAATAATTCAATGTGTCTTTTAAATACTAAGCCAGATTTTTTTCCCATTACAGTTTCTCTAATTATAAAAAAATTTGATGGGTGTATTTATTTTTACATCATCTTTTAATAGCTCTCTAGCTCCCTTGAGATTGAACCCTCCCTTATAACAAAGAAAATCAATTAAGAATAACACCCAATACATTGACAACATCTTAAAACATATAAAACCTTCTTTCTTAGCAGTCTCTTGCCTTGCTAATTTTAAAAAGGGAGGTGTGTTTCAGTATTGGTATTCTAAGTCACTATTTTTTTTTTCAGTTAGTAAAAGTTGGCTGACTTTTAATGATCTTTTCATTCACATTTTAGCATTTCCCTAAATTGATGAAATCACAGGTCAGGGCCTGCTTCTCCCCTCAAATGCTATTATTGTCATATTGGTATGAATTAGAGCATACTTGCCCCCAAAATCTTGTTTATATTAATGAGTGGAATGAATAAATAAAAAAAGTTTTTATTAAGCAATTACCGTGTGCCAAGAACTGTAATAATCAGTGGAGAGTAAAATGTGAGACAAATCCTGCACTCAAAGAACATACATTTCAATGAGGGAGCTGATACATACGTGCAGTAATGACTAGGCAGGGTGTTCATATTTAGAAGGTTACAGAAGTGTGATTGTAACCAGAGGGGAGTAATTTGACTCTCACAGATTTGATTATGGGGGGGGGGAGTTGGGGGATAGAGGCGAGCTTATTGCCTACATTGGTATGCTCACAGTGTCAGATATGAAGATGACTTGTTCAAAATGTGAAGCATGATTAGGATTGGCTAGATGCAGTGGACCATGTGAGGCGTTCTTCAATTTAGAACATGGAGGTTTTTATCAGTGTTATTTTTTGGATAATAACTATATATCATTTACCTTTGGAAGAGATCATGTTTTAGGGGTATGATCTATATGTGGAAGTGGTCTATATTGTCACCAAGTTGGTTTCATCATCATTATCGTTGTTGTTGTTATCATTATTATTATTATTACTATTAATCACATCAGAAATTAATCTTATTTTATGAACACATTCAAGCTTGGTTATTCATTGGAGAAATTTGGTTTTACTTGAAGACTCTTCAGAGTGTATAATGCATGCTTTATACAGGCTTTGTAAAGCATAGGCAGAGATTTCAAGTGCTGTAGTTGACTTTGTACTTTTGGAGACATCTGTACTTTTCTGTGTATGACAGATAACAAAGTCTTCCTACAAAGCTCTGCTCCAGTGCCCTACTATAAAGTAGTGATAATGGACTCTTACAAACTATTGCCGCAGAGTACAACCTCTGTCAGGCCCTATAAAACTGGGAAGGCTCCAAGTAAGGGAATGGTGATAGCCAGTCATCAGAGTCCAGTCTAGTGACAGTAGAGGAGATTGTCAAGAATAGATTGACAGGTAGGTGATGAATTTATGGCTATAGCAATTCATGGAATCACTTAATAGAATGTAAAACAAAAATTGTCAGTGCAAATAGCACTATCCAGTGCAATTTCCTGTCCATGGAATAGTAGATCTGAAATATTCAGAGATGTATTATTTTCAATGTAGCACCCTTATTCCTCAAATCTGACTCACAAAAATAAGTATAGACTTCTTTAATTAACAGTATTTGGTAGATAGCTATCACATACACATATTTATATATGTGTTTAATGTACGTGTGTATATTATATACACACGTGCACATATGCATATACAGACATACAAATGCACAAAACCATAATTTTTGGGGAAAGTATACAAGCAATTAAAATACATGTACAGGATGTCCAAAAATGTTTTGGGACACTATGCGTACTAGCGAAATGTCATTCATTTTAAAGATACGAAGAAAAAAAGACTATGAAGAAAGTTCATATTGACTAAAATTTTCACTAAAGAAAGAGCATTGTAGGTGACTTGGAATTAGCACTTGTTTGAATAGCACTCTTATCATTGATTTTTAACAAAACTGATGTTGCATTAATAGTATTTTGTCCCACTTAGATGTTATGATAATAACATTCAGATGAGAGGGGTGCAATTTTTACTCAAGTATTTGAGGCCTGATTACAAAAATGAATACAAGTGAAATATAAGATTAGATTAGAAGTCATAAGTAATGAATTTTTCTTTAAAATATTTTCCCCTAAACTTGTGTGTGTGTGAGAGAGAGACACACACATAGTGAACCAACAAGCATTGATTACATGTCTGCTATGTGCCAGACATTGACTTAAGTGCTGGGGATAGAAAGACATAAATGAGAAAATATCACTCTGATCAGTTTTGACTAATGTAACCACAGTTATTTCAATTTAGAGCTAATAAAAATATCAAACTTATATGGAAATTAAGCATGAAAACATCATTTCTTATAAATTTAGCTCTTTCTAAATTGGTTATTAGGAGCACACCTCCTTGTTGATAACTTTTACCAAGAATGGGATCTTTCTTGACTGAAGTGTATGGGCAAATCAGTGTCTTTATAGTATAATCAGTTCTATTACTAAATTGAAGGTGTTTAATTTCAGTTAGAATAATTCTGTATCTCCTTAAAATTTGTAAAATGTTTTCCTGATAGCAATACTGTGGGGGCAGATAAAGCAACAGAAAAAAAAATTCAGAAATGAAGACAAATACAACCAGCTTTATTGTATTCTAAATGTTCTTAGAGTTTGCATTTTTTTTGTTGTTTTCCAGGGCATACAGGACGCTTGTTAAAATCCCTGTGCTTTACCAGTCTATCATTCCTGTTGCTGCATATTATCTTTCACATTACATTAGCTAGCCTGGAGGCTCAACATCGGATTGCACCTAATTATAACTGTGAGTATGGTGGTTGTGTTAATTGCATATATGTGGTGGTTATATTGCTGTTAATGAAAATCTCTACTTGTTATGTTCAGGAATAACTCAATGGCTCTTTATCCACAAAATGCTGGGTAAATATATTCTCTTATATTGTATCTTCTTGCTCATAATAGATACCAAAGAATTTAATTGTTTTCAGCAAGATCATATGTGCAAAGTAACAAATAAGACCCCTAATGCTTAGTGATTTAATGTGCACTATGTGTAAGGCATAGTCTCAGATGCACAGAAGTAGGGCCATGAAGGTAGTGGTGACATATGGGATGGCATAGAGCAGGGAGAGAGGAGTAGCAGAGAGAACAGTTAGAGGACTGTTGGGGGAGGTGGACCTCCCAACTTTGCTGTACTGTTAAAGATATGAAGATTAAAAAAAAAAAGACATGAAATGTCTGACATTCTTGGTCTAACAGCTAGATTTTACTTAGCAATACCTTCTGGTTATTTGTGAATTTGTGTTAATGCCACACATTTTAAAGCGTCTAAAGCCTTATTCTTGATCTGTTACATCAAAGTCGAAACTTTAGAGTAAGCAAATTTCTATTATACTTGGTCTTGAAGGGCTATGGGTCATAATATACAGGAAGCAGCTTTTACCACAGGTCATATTTTTATCTCCAATCCAGACTTTATGTTTCTAGTTGGTCCATTCTGACTATAATCTCCTAACCATTTTTAGTCAGTCAAACAAGCATTTATTAAATGTGTTCTATGGCCTAGGCCCTTTGTTAAGCTCTGGGGTTACAAAGAAATGTAAAAATGTAGCCTTTTCCCTCAGGCAGCATATATTCTAACGGGAGAGATAATATGTAAGTAACTCTGTACATGCACGATAAATACAGAGTAGAAAAAATTAACCTGAAAGCTGTGAGTGGGTGGTTAAGAGAAGGGACCAGAAAGGCCTCTATTAGGTCAGATTTGAGCTATTTTTGAAGTTTAGAAGTCAGAATGAGGAAGAAGAGACTTCCAGGTAGGCCAGCGTGGCTAGATTGTAGAGTGTGGATGGGGAATAAAGCATGAAAAGAAGAGACCAGATTTAGAAGAGTGTTAAATTCCAAGCAGAGAATGTTATATTTGATCCTGGAGCTGACAGGGAGTAACTGGAGTTTATTGAGTAATAGGGTAACCTGGTCAGACCTGTCTGTGAGATTGAAGCCTAGGAGAGAGGTTAGGGCTGAATATAGATCTGGGTATCATCAGCATACAGATGGAAATTGAACCATGGGAGTAGATAAGATCATCATGCAAAATAATATAAAGTAGTGGCTCTCAAACCTGGGTACATGGACATATTTCAGAAGTCCCATAACTTGGATGGGAAAAAAAATCTATATTTCAGTATAATTGGTTTCCTTTGTAATCCTTTTTCATTTGTGCATTTAAAAACATTCTAAGAAGGGATTGTTAGGTTTCACCAGACTACCAAAGGGGTCCATAACACAAAAACAGTTATGAACCTGGTATATAGAGAGAAGGTAAGGGGACAGAAGACAGGACTTTGAGGGAGTCCCTACACATAGTGGGTATGTAGATGTGATAAGGATAAAGAACCAGCAAAGGAGATTTGATTTAGTAGTCAGACAAATAAGAGACTAAGCAGAAGAAACAAGTCAGAAAAATGAATTCAGCAGTGTCAAAGGCTGCCAAAAGTCAGCATTTATTAATCTCCAGCTATATTCCAGATGCTTTTCTGAGCACTGGGGACACAAAAATGGCAAAATACTGTCCCCGCCTTCAAGGGTATGAAATGCATACCAATCTAGACCTTAACTGTCAAAATGACATTTATTCCCAGCTTGTGACCAATTCACCAAAGGTTTATTGCCCTTTTGATACTATTGCAGCCTTTCAGTCAATTAAAATATACGTTTGAATTGTAAAAAACAAAAGTGGCAAACAGTTCCACATTAAAAAATAATGAAGTAGTTTTAAACATGCAATTATTGGGAGTTACTTAATGACTAAGAATATTACAGATACAAGCTTGTCAGGCATCAGTCTTGTGAATTTAGAAGTAACTGTAGTACCGTAGTAGTTTTTTGAATTTAATAGAAAATCCTTCTTGTATTTTGATTTATTTTTATAAAAGAAAATAATTTTCCTCTTCACAGGTTAAGAACAACTTAGAATTGGTAACCATAAAATTAAAAGCAAAAGAGACCAAATTTCCCTTAGAGCTGAGTCACCTGCCCACCTACTTACAAACCTTTTTCAGTCTCCTGCAATCTTCAGTTTTCCTTCTCTGAATGCCTCACCATCCTACCCTCATCCAAACCAAATAAAAGTATATGACTTTCCTTTGGCTTGCTGAATATCTAATTCCCTGGGGCCAAAATTATCTCTGACCTGAAGGTGTACTTAGCCAAATGTCTTAGTAGATAAAAGTCTCTTTGAAGTGTAAATGTGGCTCAGTAGGGGCTAGGCAGTTATTCCAGTTGTAACAACTGTTCCTTGGACAACAGTATAAAAGAAACCAAGTTGCTCCCTTCAAATGCCTTTTTCTAGACATTTTCTTATATCCTCAACCTCCTCTCCATGGTGCTAGAGCCTCTCATTCCCACCCTATCAGTTAAGTATTTAGGTTCCTAGATAATGGTTTCTAGCAACTACATGAAAGGTCTTTATCAGTTGACTAGATTATTTATTTGTGAAAGTCTTAAAAAAAAAACTGAAGAGGAATGGAAACTTTGCTGGTTTTCTGACCTGAAATTCCCACTCACTTTCCTCCACAAAGGACCAAATTTAGTTGAGTTCTCATAAGAAATTATATGAGTTTAAAAGAAGAGATAGATAGTTTCAGTTTAGTAATGACCTGTTTGTTTGGTGTGGTATTCTCTCCACAAACACATGGCATAGTAGATGGTTTTTGAGAGTGTCTATAATGAAAATGAACACCACGCTGTGGTCAGCCTAATGCTGTGGCTTTCCAAAACTTAGCTAGGTTGGCCCATGAATGGCAGATACATGATCTGCTACAGGAACTGTACCTAAAGTCTTTCCCTTCTGTTGGCATAGCCCTCAAGAGCTGTCGTCTCTAGGCATCTTGATTAGGCATCAGAGAATAATTCTTGTGAAGGAAATGGCAATAACAATGCTCAATCAGTCTACAAGGCACATTATAATTTCATTTGATTGTCACAACAATGCTCTAAAGTATTTAGTATAAATATCATTACCTCTATTTTATGGATGAGGCGATCAAGTGTCAGGAAGGATAAATGATATAGACAGTTTCACACAGCTAATAGCTGGCAGAGCCAAAGTTTCAAATCAAGTGATATTTCCACTATACAAAGTTGTCTGATGTTAAAAAGAAGAGGTTTATGTTAGTAGTTTATATTTTGGTAGGGTTGGGGTTTTTTTTTAGTAGAAATTATTAAAAAAAAAATTGAACTGATCACTTTTAGTCCATTGAAAGCTTGTATGTAAATATCCAAAATTCATTAATACATTCTGAGTAAGCTAGTACCATGTATAATAGGCTTGGCTCATTGGTTTTAAGACAAGTTTTTTTTGGTGTTATATGTAGCATTTAAAACTAATACATATTTGAATCAGGATAAAAGAGAAGGGCAAACCAGACTTTACAAACTCATTTGGTCCAAGATTGACACAGACCAGGTTTTCAGCCTACAGCATTTTTTTTTTGGTGATCATTTATATAAACCCTTGAAAATCATGTTGGGGTGGGTAATGGAAACCCTGACTATTGGAATTACAGAGTTGCTGATGGCACCTCACTAATATTATTGTTTCTTGTACATTTGGAGTTGAGATTACACTGCTATAGTAGTAAACCCAAACTCAGCTCTTTAATCCTCCAAGTATTGAAGGTTAGACTTTTTTGGCATCTGCAGAAGTAAAGTAGCAAATCTTAAACTGAAAAGCAAAAACTGTCTAGACAGGCAAGGCTGTGCATTCTGAACCTATTTTGCCCTATCCAAGACATGGGTAAATCAAAATGAAATAAACCAGACAGGTCAGGTTTTGCAATCATAGATTCTATTCCAACCCAAGACCACCAAGTACTGGTTTCTGTAAGATTTAATTTTGTTTTTTCTAACTGCTACTCTCCCACTTTTAAAACTCGTATACCTTTAGCCTCATTACAGAAAACGCTCCCAGCATCCCTCAAGAATTTCAGATGTGTTTGGGGGACAACAGTAGCATTTAGAAATATTGAGTCATTAGAAAGTCCCATCTATCCCTTGAGTCCTGTGAATATTACCTGGCAGTAGTAAAATAAAAAATGTGAAACCCACCCCATTTAGCTTTTGACTAGACTTGCTGGTTTGTTAAAGGCATCATTGTACAGAACTGAAATTTAACACTAGCCCAACCCCCACCCCCTCCACTTTTTTTTTCTTTCTGAAATGGTGCTCATCTAGGTAAGCGAGGAAATAGATGCAGCAGGGGTGAGCTCTGCAAATTCCCTTCCAACATATGTGGTGCTGCCTACTAAAATATTTGTATTCCATCAAAAATATGCTTTTCAGGTGAATGCAACCCAGATTTCAATTATGTCATTACAAATAACACAGAAGCAGGCCGTTTAACCCCATGGTAGGTATATGGGAAAAGTAGGGAGACTTCAGGGTCTATTAGTTGGTTTATTCTGATTCCACTCGGTTTATTTGTTTGTGGAAATTTTGCAGTTAGGACCTATAAAAAATTTATGTTAGCTCATCCCATCTCCTCTCCTAATATGGAATTAATTCTTTCATTTAAATAGTTTTTTTTCCCAATGAATTAGGGGGAAAATATTTATTATTAGAATTTCTGAATGAAGTTCAGGGCCTATGACATACCTTCCTCCACTTACCATGGCTTCTTCCCCTGGTCTAAGCATGGTGCCTGGATCCCATTTTCACTGGACCATTGCCCCTGACTGCTCTTCCCTCTCTCCCTTTTACTTCAGGAAAGTGCCCAGGGAAACAGTTTGGACCATATGATGGCCA